GATAACAATGGTACCTTCTTTGTCATTGTACGGTACCCATTCTTGCAAATAGTAGATTCTTAGATAAATCATTTGTTAGAATCTTTGATAGACCATTTGTTATATACCCATTATTGTTATAAAGTGTAAGCTAAAAATTACAAATGTAAATCAATAGACATGCACACATCATGGTTTTTAAATATGGAAAACAACATTTTTACAGCGTAGTTCTTGGTTTAATGTCATAATTGGAAAGTCCTGGAATCACAGCTGTTGAAAATAAACCTACAATTGTTTTCAGGTAATATATTGTGATCAAACCTGCCAGAAAACACACTGGTTTGCACATAAGAAAATGTGTAAGAATCTCAAGGACATTTATGAGAAACAACAGTTGGAGGCTGCCAAAGAAAAGAGTGAAAAGGAGAATAGTACGTATATAAAAACCGAGCTCATTATGCTTCCTAGTGGGGGGAGGAAGATAGATACTAACACAGGGCATTCAGGAACTGAGTCTTCTCTGGGGACCAAGGAAGCTTGGGGGTGACCAACATAAGGATCACACTTAAAAATGTCGCTATTTTGAATCCTTGGGATAATGTGTAGAATGTGGTCAGCCTAGATGTCACTGGAAAGTAAAAGACATAAAAGTCTGAGGAATGTAGTTTATTCCACATTCTGCTTTCTGACTCCTGAGACTGCTCTGCAGCAGTGGGACCCTCAGTGAATATTTACTCATATTCTACTCATAAAAGATTTTAAAGTCTCTGAATTGCAGGAATAATTAACTGTCCCCTCATGGCTACCCAAAGAATTTAGGGTTGGAAGCTTTTAAATTTCTTAATTATAAAACTGCAGGTGAAATTACAGAGCAGATTTATGAATTACAAATTAAATTGCAGATCTGTGAATGCACAGATTAAATTTCTACAAGTGTCAAGGCAGTCAGTTTCATAGTATTTTTCTTCTCCCTTCTTCATGAAGTATATGACTCATTTTCATCAGAAACAGTGAGTTGCTTCAGCAATGATTCGCATATTGGAGATGGAAAATGTTGCACAAATAACTTTGATACTGAGCACTTCCACTTTCACCCCTCAAGGGACCGTGTCCCCTTTACTTCTTAGTTGAGAAACACTATTAGTGGGATTGAATGACTTGTACAAAATTAAATTTAATTTGTATAAATAAATGACTGCTATGCTTTCCCCTTTTTGGGGGGCAAAATTTGTGTCCTGTGTGTTGAACAGTGAATAACAGCTCGTCATGTTCTAAACAAGCCATGTGAGAGAATAGGGCTGCTGGTGGAGTGGGAACTCCCGGCTGGTAGCCGTCGGCACGCGCCATATGCTATTGTAAGTGTTACAGACACCTTTACTCGCCACAAACATAGGATAGGCTTTATTATCCCCCACTTTGTAGGTAAAAAAGACAACTTCGTACAGGCAGTTATCTACCCACAGACATCAAGCTAATTCATGGCAAAGCTGTATTTGAATGTGATTTTGTCAGATCCCCGACAATGGCTTTGGAGCCAGAGACCTGAATCCACATGCCAGTCTGTTGCTTTACAAGCTAGGAAGCTTTGAGCAAGTTACCAAATGCCTCTCTTCTCAGTTTCCCCATTTGTAAAATACTGATAATGATAATAGAGATAATAATTTATCTCATTGGTTGTTAGGAGGATTAAATAATTTAATACATGTAAAGAACTTGGCAGAGTATCTGGCACATAAGAACAAATGACTTTTTTTTCTTCTTTTGTCAGATGGCAAACTTGATGTCAATTCTAATTGTGTTAATGAAGAGCAGTCAGAGGCTGAAACAAAAATCTCCCAAGAAGATTGTGGTCCTAAGGATTCAGTGGAAGGGGAAAAAGAGTCTCTTCAGTCTGATGCTGGGTCGGAGTGCTCACAGGATGCTACTGCAGGCTTGCAGGTATCGGAGGAGTGAAGGACAGAGCCAGTGCCAGCATGGATGCTGCTCACCTTGGCAGATAGCTGGAAAACTCCTGTGACTGTGTCCCTATTGCCTTGTGACACCTGCATGGCGCCGTGGCAGGATTTCATAGAATAGAGCTTTCCAGCAAAGTTCTGTCTACTGTGCCCTAATTTTCTACTGGTTTCTGTTCTATAATTGGACAGATAGTCCTAGGGAAAAAAAAATTTTTTTTCAAAATATAGGAGAAACATTTCTATTTCCCTTCTGAGGCCAGCTTTCCAGCAATTGTTCTCAAAGGCAAATAAATCCCCTTAAAGAAGAAATACAGGCTCTAGGGAACAAAGGGGAAAGCAGAACAGGTGCAGGACAGAGGAGTTTTAGGAAAGAAAACTCATAGCCACAGATATAGGTAGTTAAAAGAACCATAACTTATATGTGAATAAACTGCATGTAAATAGCATTTACAGTAGTGAAGTTCTGCTTATTAGGATGTAACAAAATGAAGAAAGGCTATTTGTTAAAAGAACTATGTCATAGTTCAGCTAATTATAGTTTTCTATAGAAATTATCTTGAGCAATCTGATCTTTATGTAGTTCCCGCAGTGATGTTTCATCTATAGTATTTGTACCTTTAGAAATGTCAAATTTCTGGCATTGCCAGAGTTATCTCAGCATGTACATTAAAAAAATGTATCATAAAATTTTTGATTAAATAATGGCTAAATATACCGTTTCCACAATTATCATAAAACTAATTCATGTGCCATATTTCACTTGAAAGGCTGAATTTTATCTTCCTGTAAGCTTTTCCTGTGACCCCTCCTGTCCAGAAACTGATTTATAACTGTCATTTATAGAATGTTCTGGCATCAGTCTTTCGAGTGTGCAGTATTTAAACAGAGCTAGAATGTGATAGCTGAAGATAGTGCTGTGTTTCATAGTTTCTGTTGATTGTAAAATAAATTGTGCCTATTAATATAACCAACTCACATCTCGTTTCATAGTTTGTTGCTGTCAGGGGCTGGCAAATATTAGAGAAGTGTTAGAGAACTCAACAAATATGAAACTTAGCAAATATTGGAGAACAGAATAAACATTATTTTAATATGTGTAATTGCAAATCAATATGACAAGAATTCTCACCTCACTTCACTGATTAAATTCTTCTATCTTGCTGGTTCTCTTTTTCTTTACACTCAGTTTCTTTTCTCCCAGCCCCAAACTTTACATATATCTCCTGCACACCCTATACCATTATGCTTATGGAAAGCCTCATGAGAGTAAGTTCAGATTTAAGGGATGTAACTGGTTATGAATTCAGTGGGCAGATTGTGTCTGAACTTGTCAATCATGACAAGCCACCCTTCATTCGTCAAGATATTTCATTTACACACAGATACACATTTATCTTTGGATAGTAAAATAATCCTCCCAGGCTGTCCTTGCCTACAAATATGTTTTTTTACCTGAGTTCCCTGATTTTTAATGTTTTTTTTTTTGTGTGTGTGTGTGTTTGCGTGGACATCATTCTGTGTTATCATTATGTTCTCTATCTTTGGATACCATGGAGAATTACAAAAAAAAAAAGCAGAAGGAAATAGGAAAATCAAGAGATGTGGCAGAGGTAATTTTCCGTTTCATTGAAATGAATGTTGATGTGAATCAGAACTCGCTAACAGCTATAACTGACATAAGTAGGAACTTTTACATTGTCCAAAGAGAACTACAGGTATAAACCATGTCAATATCAAAAAAAAAAAAAAAATTTTCCACAAATGTATTTAAGGGAAGAGGTGACCATAAAATAGGATTTAAGAGAAAATGAGGTTGGTTCTGATTATAGAAAAAAAAAAAAAAAAAATTTTTCCACAAATGTATTTCAGGGAAGAGGTGGCCATAAAATAGGGTTTAAGAGAAAATGAGGTTGGTTCTGATTATAATTCCTTCCTTTGTCATAAATAACCTAAAACAGATGTTTCCATAATGTTACCATCAAAACAGGTAGTCATCCCAATTATTTTTTTTTTTACCATGTTGAAATTATTTTCACAATGCCATTAAGAAATTTTTCTCAAACAAAAATAGGACCTACAGGGTTATAATAGTCTTCCTATTCCAATACATTGTATACGATTAAAGCATCATTTGCATAGACAAAAAGCAGTATCTTAATTTAGTAGAAAGCAAATTATTTCTTCCTTATAAGAATTTCTTCAGTAGATATACAGGAAGTATTTTTTTACCCCCAAAAGGTAGCTCTAACTTATTTTCTATTTCTTTTAAAGACAAAGTTCTAGTTTTATAAATAAATGAAGGCATCTTTTTAAATGGTGATCATAACTTAGCTAGAATATTTAAGATAAGTACATAATTGGCCACTTCAGGGCAATATTGCTAGTTAATTGATAAATTCATATAAAACTACTTAATCCTAGGATGATTTCAAATGGATACAATTTAAATGTGAAAATTTAAATCCCAGAAACCATGAGAGAATGCTTAATGATTTTGGTATGAAGGAGGCCTTCCTCAATATGATAGTAACCCCATAAATCACAAAAAGAAACAAATTCAGCTACATTTTAAAAATCATGCATACACTTCTCTTTCTGGAAAGATGAAATAGATATTCTTTTCCCTATTCCTCTGCCTAAGTAAAACTAAAATCCCTAGATGTTACATATAAAACAGACAAAGACAGACCTGCTGGGTCTGTCTACTAAATGACACTTGGTTTGTTCTCTGGGTTTTCTCTTTGCCTCCTATATCTTAGTCTTGGAGCTGAAGAAGCCAGCAACATGGAAACACCAACAGCTACAGACAAAAATAAGCCCCAACAAACAAACGCCTGCCAGTCTGCTGTCCTGTCCTATGATTTTCGGACTCAAGACTGAAACATCAACACATGCCTGAACTTCTAGTCTGCCTTGGCCTGCGCTACAATTTTTGGACTTGCCAGCCCCCACAGTGGCATGAGCCAATTCCTTCAAAAAAATTGCTCTCTCTCTATGCATATATCCAGTTAATTCTGTTTCTCTGAAGACCAGGTGACCTAGTTTGGGCTGCTATAACATATTACCATACACTAAGGTGGTTTATACAACAAACTTACTTCTCACAGTCCTGGAGGTTGGAGGTCTGAGATGGGGGTGCCAGCATTGTCGAGTTCTTGGTGAGTGCCCTCTTTCTGTGTCCTCACACAGCAAACAGAGGGTAAGCTTGCTCTTTAATTTCTTATCAGAGCACTAATCCCATTCATGACAGCTTCACCCTCACAACCCAGTTACCTTCCAAAGGCCTTACCTGCAAGTACCATCTCACTGGGGATTAAATTGCAACATGTAAACTTTGTAGGGACACAAACATTCAGTCTTTGATACCAGATATAGTCCTTACGAGCACAACTGCTCTTGGGTTAAGAATAACAGTATTAGCTAACATGTATTAAGCATTTACTTTGAGAAAGCCTATCTACCTAACACTTCACATATATTACCTAACTTAATCCTTGAGGCTCCATGAGATAACCACAATAATTTTTATAAATAATAGGAAATTAAAGCCTAGAGAAAACTAAATTGTCCAAGTAACAACTAGTAAGCGGAAGAGCTGAGCTAGGTCTGTCTGATTCCAGAGCCCCAGCTTGTAGCCACTACCCTCTGAGATCTATATATCGGTGTTTTCTGTTTCCTAGTCATGAGATATCCTTTGGATCGTGGAATAAATATGCTTTCACTTGAGCCAGCTTGAATGGGTCTCTGTTGTTTAAAACAACTTAATTAAAAGCACCCTCTCAAATGTGTGTTCTATTTTGGTAGAGTTTGGGGTTACTTAAGTAAGGATAATGTCTTCTCTATTTTGTATTTCTCCCCAAATGGTGTTTTCCAGTCACAGCCACTTCGTAGCCCTTCATTATTGAATAAAAACATTCAGTATTGAGTACATTTTTAAAGCATTTTTTTCTTCATACAAATGAAACATTTCCATTAGTTCTCTAAAACAGAGGTTAAGTAAAATTTTCTAGCCCTATTTTTATAACGAATAGATTATTCATCCTTTTCAGTGATTATAGGCTTAAAAATACCAGATTATGCATTTTTTGATTACTCTTTTAGTGGTTAACCTGGAGATTACAATACCTAATTCTGAACTAATTATAATCTAATTAAAAATTAATACTTCTCATGCAACTCATGGGCCAGCTTAAACTTGATCCCAAATACACCATTTCTATCATGAAGTGGATTGTTGCCACGCCCACCCAACATTATTGCTTGCTGGATCTGATATAGTCGGGTCATGATGTGTAGCTTTGATGTAACTGTTACTTAATGATCAATGGTCAGACTCTCAGTTCTAGAATGGATGCAGTAGCATGCCAAGAACTGCTAATTGAACATGATGAGTTTTCTGCTGCGGATGGTGTGGCCTTATTCAAGAACCCTTGAAGACTGGGCTATGACTCTCCTCTCAGAGCTTGTCAGAGACTTCACAAGGCATCCTTACATACAACAAATACTTCTAGCACAATGGATTATGCTGGGTTATTGTGTTACTTTCTATTACTGACTGTGTAACCAGTTACCCCAAAATTTATCAGCTTGAAGCATCAATAAGCGTTATCTCATAGTTTTTGCAGGCCAGAAATAAAGGAGCAGCTTAACTGGGTGGTTCTGGCTTGGGCTTTCTCAGGAGGGTGCCATGAAGCTTTCAGCCAGGACTACAGTCATCTGAAGCTTTAAATGGGTCTGGAGGATGTGCTTGCAACTCAAATGGTTGTTGGCAGAAGGCCTCAGTTCCTCACTGGCTTTTGGAGGGAGGCCTCTTGTTCTTCACCACATGCACCTCTCCAGAGGACTGCTCAAGTTCTGCATGATATGGCAGCTGGCTTCCTGCAGAATAGTGATCCAGGCGAGAGAGCAAGAGCATTTCAGTTCTTTATATGACAATCTTGGAAGCCACACGTCATCACTTTTGCCATGATATCAGCCACTCACCCACATCAATGCCAAACTCTTTTTTCTTACTCTCAGCTGCAACCTTCTGCCAGGGACCATACCTGCATTTCAGACTCTGGCTATGCACAGAATCATAAGTGCCCACAGGTAAAAGGAGATTACAGATTCTCAGTGATATTTCATCTCTTGCCTGATTTGATTTCAGCTCCACTTTTACAGTGTCTGTGTTATAGTGTGATGGTTCTAAGCACCATCAGATAGGGGGAGTATTATATGGCAATGAGAACAACAGATTACTGCTACTAACAACAACGTGGGTGAATTTCACAATGTTGAGTAAAAGAAGCCAAAAAAATCATTTAACCTATGATTCCATTAATAGGCCTTTTAAAAACAGACACAATTAATGTATGGTTTTAAAATCAGAACATGAGCTACTTTTGAAGGGTGAGTAGTAATGAGTAATAGGAATGGTGACGAGAATGAGGATGCTTTTAGAGTGCCGGTGATATTTTGTTTCTTGATGAAGGATACCAGTTGCACGACTGTTCATTGTTTGAAAATTTGACCTGAGCACTTATGATTTGTGTACATTTCTATATACATATTTTACTTCAACAAAAACTTAAACTATAGGAACTATTTTTCATTATCGATGTTTCTGTTTCTATTTATATTGTTCCAAATAACATTAAATACATAATCTGCTTAATCACAGAGAAGTTTAATATACAGCTGAAACCCACTAGGATTTCTAGAAATACCAGGGGTTATCTTATTGTAACTGTGAGCATTTGAGCAGGTTCTGTGTCTTTTTTATCTTCTTCGAGGTATTTTTCCTCTTGCGTTGGAACTGTGTCCCAGTTCAGAAAGGTAATAGCCATTACTGATCTCTTCATGGACCTTACGAAAACAGCATCTTCTGGATCATCAAACACAGTTCTGCAAAAATGGCAATTATGTCAGAAAAAAAAATTAGACCAAAGTTAATTTTTAATTTAAATGAATCAATGCCATCTTCTATGTTATTTGTAGTAGTCTAGTACCACTAACAAGTAACTTTTGAGCTCTACCAACAAATGGCTTTCAGGATAAGTAACTATTTTTATTGTATATATTGTTTATTTCAATAAGAGAGTTTTCGACCATATTCAGGATCAGCTATTACAGTTTAGGTCTCACACATTCATGTATTCATGTTTTAAACCAGTGTTAAATGTTAAAATTTTTATAGATATCATGCATTTTAGTATCATATACATTTTATTGGAAAGTTATTATTTTCTACATTATACATGTTTTATTAATGTGCTTGGAATAATGTTTTTCAAAACTGAATCCAAAGAAAAAATTCCTAAGTGCAAAATTTAAATAGAAAAATGGTTTTTAAATTCATCAATATTCATAAATTCGAAATGTTTTTCATAGTTTAATGAAGGATTTGATTTGAAAGTGAAAATTCCAGTGAATATAAAATGTTAATAATTGCTTTCACTGGGTATATTTAGGGGAACAGTAAACAAGGAAAGCAAAGATCCTCATTTGCAATAGCTAATCATTCTTAAGTTTCTTTTCTATATCAAATCACACTTTCATTTATTTTAGGTTATAATAATATTAAAAACCTAGATAACTCTAATATGAATTCATAGCCTGAACTCATTTATCACAGAAAGATATAGCAATTTTTCATATCTATTGAAGAGTTAGTCATTTTTTAACTCATTAAAATCTATTTTGGGAAATGGGAATGATTTAGGGTATCAACACCATTATGAAATAAATCTGATAATAAAAGTAATATTTAAAAAATCACTTACTTGTCTACATTATTCGCAAATGCAAAATCTAAAAAAAATACATTTCTAAATTAGTACTTTTCAAATGTTTATTCAGCTTTTTAAAACAATGGAACAATACTGTAGAAGAAAGGTCTAGAGCATAGCTCTCTGGTTTTCCAATAAGCAGTTAGAGGAATAGTTCAATCCATCACAAAAGCCTTGATACTTAACCCCAAATTGAAATTTCTCTTATAGTGCCTTAGGTTTGTCTTAGGATTTAAGGCCAATTCTTTAATACAATATACATCTCAAAACTCAGAACAGAATGCTTAATCAATTTAGTTACCAGGAGAATCCAAGTGGGAATTTTTATAATTAAGATATTCTCATGTACAGAAACTGATCCTGTTTTTTCAGAAAAGCACATGTATTTATAAATGGAATATAGGCCAAATGGGGAGAAATATTTAGAGCAGTTTAAACCATTTGGATTCTTGGCATTAACTTCAAAAAATCGGAAAAACAAATCCTAGATCACAAGAATCTATATCTTCCCTAGCTTTGAAACTCAAAGGCTAGTTCTCAAAGCTTGGATTTCTTATAGTGTCTTCCAGAGACAGTCATTTCTTTGTTTATTCCTCTCCAGAAGGCCTAGTGCCAAGCTAGAGATGGAATGTACCAGCACCTGTTGGGCCACCAAAGCCCACATGTGAGTTCTTGCCAGTCCACAAGCAGCGGGGAGCACACAGCCTCTGCCTAAATTGAAGAATTATGGCATCTTTCCCGTCGCAAGTGGCTGACTCATCTCCCATGTCCTTTCTGATCGGTGCAGACATTCTTTTTCTACATTTTTAATTACAAAAGGTACACATTTTGCTATTATAAGGTATATAAACGATTCATATAAACAAGAAAATAGTAACATCTCCTTTTGACTTTTCCAATTTCTCTTATCAGAAGTATCACAATTAAGAGTTTTGTATATATGCATCCAGCCCGCTATGTGCATATACACGTATATTCGCACACATACATACTGACATTTGTTTTCTGACAAAATTCCAATTTTGCCATTACTCTGCATTATATTACTCCATGACTTTTTTTTTTTATGGTGAAAATATATCATGGAATAATTCTATGATGCAATAATGATTTGTATTACATGAATGTGCCATAATTTAGCCATTCTCCTACGAATGACCAGATTATTTCCGCTATTTTTTCTATTAAAAAAAGTTTCAGTGAGCATCTTTATATATATACTTTGTGTGTGCAAATACTTCTGTGAGAGAGAGCCTTCAAATTTAACTTCTGTGCTGAATGGTTTGCATATTTTTTGTGTTGACGGACACTGCCATTATTGCCATGTGGTCTTCCAAAAAAAGTTGAACCATATATATGAGTTGTGTTCTGCTCTCCCCTCATCTTCAACTGATTTTTTCTTCTAATAATTTTTTATTTTTCAATTTCACTTGAAATACAATATTATATTAGTTTCACATGTACAATAATATGATTAGACATTTATATAACTTAAAATGATCCCCCTAATAAATCTAGTACCCATATGACACCGTACAGTTATTACCATATTACTGACTATATTCCTTATGCTATATATCACATCCCCATGACTATTTTGTAACTACTAATTTCTACTTCTTAATCCCTTCCCATTTTTCACCCATCCTCCCAAACCCCCTCCCATTTGGAAACCATTAAAATGTTCTGTGTATCTAGAAGTTTGTTTTGTTAGTTCAATTTCTTTAGATTCCACACAAAAGTGAAATCATATGACGTTTGTCTTTGTATGATTTACTCAGCACAATATCCTCTAGGTCCATCCATGTTGCAGATGACAAGATTTCATTCTTTATTTAAGGCTGAGTAATATTCCATTGTATATATGTACCACCTCTTTATTCATCCATTGAGAGACATCCAGGTTGCTTCCATATCTTGGCTATTGTAAATAATGCTACAATGAACATATGGATGCACAAGTCCCTTTGAAGTAATGTTTTGGGTTTCTTCAAATAAATACCCAGAGTGAGACTACTGGGTCCTTCTTTGTCTCTTGTTATAGCCTTTGTTTTAAAGTCTATTGCATCTAGTGTAAGTATGTACCCCAACTACTTTTTTCATTTCCATGTTCATGAAATCTTTTTCCATCCCTTTACTTTCAGCCTGTGTGTGTGTTTCAATCTGAAGTGAGTCTCTTGTAGACAGCATATGTAAGGGTCTTGTTTTCTTATCCATTCAGCCACCATATGTCTTGGAGCATTAATCCATTTACATTTAAACTAATTGATGATAGATATGTAGTTATTGCAATTTTATTATTTGTATTTTTTATCTTTTATTTTCTTCTTCAAGAAGTCCTTTTAACATTTCCTATAATACTGGTTTAGTGGTGATGAACTTCTTTAGCTTTTTCTTGTCTAGTAAGCTTTTTCTCTATCCTTTGAGTCTAAATGATACCTTTGCTGGGTAATCTTGGCTGTAGTTCCTTGCTTTTCATTATTTTGAATATTTCCTGCCAATCCTTTCTGGCCTGTAAAGTTTCTGTTGAGAAATTAGCTGACAATCTTATAGGAGCTTCATTGTAGATAACTAACTGCCTTTCTCTTGCTGCTTTTTAAGATTCTTTGTCTTTAAACTTTGGCATTTTAATTATTACATGTCTTGGTGTGAGCCTCTTTGGGTTCATCTTGTTTGGGACTTTGTGGTTCCTGGGCTTGTATGTTTATTTCCTTTACGAGGATAGGGAAGTTTTCTGTTATTTCTTCAAATAGATTTTCAACTCCTTGTTCTCGCTCTCTTCTCCTTCTGGTACCCCTATAATGTGAATGTTGGTATACCTAATGTTG